GGGGGCTGGGGACCTGTGGGAGGGTGGGGCAGGGCCAGGACCAGGGCTGAGGACTGATAGGAGGCCTGAGGCTTGGCTGCAGCTCTGCTGTCCTCACCCCTTGGCTGTCTGAGCCACGCATTTCACCCCCGGCATCCCATGGAACCTCACGTGCCCAGCTCCTGTGTGTGCACACGGAGTGTGCAGTGGGTGGGCACTGCGTGCACAGGCGGGTGCTTGTGTGCGTCCCACATGAGGACGGACAGCTCAGAGGCTCCTGGTGCACAGTGCGCAGTGCAGGATGTGACGCTGGCCCCGTCGCTCCGCTCCCAGCAGCGATCACAGCGACTTTCCCAGCATCACTGGGGCGCGGATCCCACCAGACAGCAGCACAGCTGAGGACCCACCTCGGCCCCACGATGGGCTCTGGACAGACAGTGAAGCCGCTCTCCACCAAGACTGTGCCCTGCGCATGCTCCCGAGCCTGGGGCGCAAAGGAAGCCGCACTCCCCAGATCAGCACCAGCTCTGGGGGGCCTTTCACCACCCACAGTCACCGCAGGGCCTGCAGACTCGGCAGACGGATGCCACGGAGCAGAGCTGTGATCAGTGTGTGGCCGTCGATCACGGAAGTGGTGCTGCAGTGGGCACCCGTTCGCGATCCTCCAGGCCCATCCTACAGGGACGAGCAGGCAGCTACGAAGTGAATTAAATAACACTGATGCTCTTTTATAAAGGGTTTCTGTGTCACAGATCCGACAAGAATCTCACAAGATTACTAAGAGATAATGGTTGCCCTAGCAACTCGAGCTATTTCCTCTTCCCACACTTAAGAAGAGTTCAATTTCAGAAACTCACAGAATGGCAATTCTGAAAGAAAGGAAAAGAAAGAAAGCCCCGCAGCTCCAGCTCCAGCCACGTTAGGGCCTCTCAGACCAACCTCCCACCAGTGCCCCTCCTGGGCCCTTCTGCGCGGGGCACCAGGCCGCAGGATGAGCAGACCCAAGTGGCTGGTGGGAGGGCTCTGGGAGCACGGACACTGCGCCAGAATGCCACTCCTAGGCAAGACGGGGAACACGACTTCCCAGTTCCCCAGAGAGCGGAAGTGAGATCCTGGGAGACCGCCAGCTCCAGAGCCTGCTTCACCAGCAGAGCTGGACGAGACTCGAGGCCACCTGCTGGACCAGCTCGGGGACGTACTGGCCAAGGGCATCCCCAGGGGAGCCAGGTCCACAGGAGGAAGCGTGGCTTCTGGCTGCTGCCCCTACCAACCGGGCACTGGAGCTCTGAGGGGCGAGGACAGCGCTACCTCAGAGACTAACCCACAGTGAGTGGACAAGGATGATTGTTCTGAAGCTAGAAAGGATTCCTGCAGCTCAACAAAACAAAAACAACTTAAAAATAGGCCAAGTGACAACTGTACTGGGCAGGAAATCAAGCCCACAGGAGGAGAGGGCAGAGTGGAGGCTGGGAAGCGACCGGCAGTGGGGGTGGAGTCTTGGGCTTAGAAGGGAGGCAGGCTCTGTCTGTCTGGGGACTGACGCTTACCGTGCAATGTAGAACAGCTCAGAGAGGGCCAGGGCTGTGCCACCATCACAAGGACGCACCCCGCCTTCCACACAGAGCCCTCTCCATGCCGCCTGCATGCCCCAAGTCCTTCATTCCCAGGGACCAGGCCACAGGAGCTCCTTCCAGACTCCGCCTATAGAGAGAGCTCCGGGCCCCATGGCTACACCGCAGCCCACAAGCAACACACACCTCCCACTCACGTTCCACCGGCCGCAGGGGCCGCAGAGACCCTGACTTCAGGGGAGGTGACCGTAACCAGGCAGAGACAGGAGCACTGGTGAGCACCAGGGCGCGGGCAGCTCAGGGCAGAGCTCGTGGTGCTGGTGCCACCCCCTGTCCGGCCACGGTCCTCTGCCCTTCCCTCCTCAGCCTGTATGTCCATCTGGTCCCGCATAACAAGTGCCCTCAGATGAACCCACCACGCCCTCTTTCAGGCCAGGGAGTGCAGCTAAGAGGACAGCACAGCTGTGCCCTGACACGCTTGACACACGCTCACACACACACCTCCAACCACGCTAGAGTCTGCACCTCAGAAACAGGTGACGCAAAGCGACTCAGGAATGCGACACGGGCTTGAATTGGGAGGTTTAGGAGGATTGAGCTCAGAGGCCAGTCCCTGCAAGAGAGGAGGCAGTGGACTGAGCCGCGGTGGCGTCCGGCTCCAGGCCGGTCCCCGCACTCACACTGCACATCCTGTGTCCCAGACTCCAGGCCGGACGCCCAGGACCCACACGGAGAGGTGCGAAGTGGCAGCTCTGGCCCCCATCCAGAAAGCACAGCGTGGGCTTGGCACAGACGCCACCTCGCCGTGCACGCGTGTCAGCCTGGAAGACCCGGGACGCCACAGCAGCCTCCCAGCACGGCGACCCCTCACAGGCCGTTCCTCCACCCACTCGCTCACCCACTGCCTCACCCCCAGATGGCCGTGCCCATCAAGATGAGAGGCCCATCAAGCCCTCTCCCCTGCTCCTGCACACTTCCCGCTCCCCTCACCGAGACCTCTCTGCTTCCTTCCAGCCAGCTCCTCTAGTAAACTCAACACCGCGTGTGCCCTGGGTCGCCTGGCCCCAGGCCTCTCCCATCGGCACGGCCACGCGTGCTGTGGTGAAGCTGCAGCTCTGATGTGCACGCTCACACGGCACCTGTCCCTGTGCACCACAAGGGAGAACACACCATCCACAACCACTGGCTCCCTCCGTCTTCAGCAGGAACCTCAGAGGGCTGCAGGCCTGGCCCACCTCCCCGACGAGCCCTGGTGAGTTTTCCTCACTGGTCTTCTCAGCTTCCCAACTCTGCACTGCTGTCCTCATCCGACCAGTGTCTCGATCCCCGCATCACTGAGAAAACTCCGGCCTTCCTGCCCGTGGGGCACTTCCCACAGGATACTTTCTGTGTGCCCAGCTCCAACGCCTCTGCCCCATTTCGAAGGCCAGCACCCTCCCTGCCGGGCGCAGACGTCCTCGGGGCTCCAGTCTCGGTCTCCGCACCCCTCTTTCCTGCTGCAGTGGCCCGGGAACGTGCCGCATTTCTCCCCAGTGACAAATGAGCTCTCTGGAACCCTCCACCCTGACACCTTCCTGTCCGTCTTGTAGCAAACTTTCCCGAAGCGCTGTGCAAGCTTGCTTTTCTAACTCCCACTTCGTGCTTTCGGTCAGACCCACTGCAGTAAAACACTTGCCTTCGTGACGCCCCCAGAATTGTGTGGCAGCTCGAGGGTGACTCCCAAGCACTAACCTGTGCTCCCGTCGCCGTGGTCCCAGTGTCCCGCCCTCACCCTGCCCCTCTCCCGTGCTCACCAGGGAAGCTGCACTGGGCTAGGGTTGGAGCCCTCCCTGACACCGGCCTCTGCTGCATGCCATACCACGCGGGCCTCTGCCTGGTACAGGCTGGGCCCCTCGGTACCCTGGTGTCCACCGACGAGTGCCCAACCTCTTCGGCCCGAAGGCCCAGAGCCAAGCTCCTCATGCTCCTCCCTGGTCTCTCGCCAGCTTGGCTGACAGTTTTTGGTAAAATCTCTAATTTCTCTGGCTCTGCAGAGTGTAAGGCTTTGGAGACGACCAGCGAGGTGATCCCAGGTTCCACGCCCTCTCAGTGCCAGCCCCGGCGCTTCTCCTGCGGTTGTGAGGAAATGCCCCACAGTCGGTGTCTGCTGGGAGGCCGTGACCACATCCCCCGGGGAGAGAGAAAGGACGGACCGGCTGCCGCGCGGGGCACCCAGCCCGGCTTGCTGCACTCACTGCGTCACAGCTGGCTGCGGCCCCTCCCGCTGGAACCTGGAGTCTGCAAAGTGGCAAGTGGAGGGACTACAGACTTACTGTAGGGGTCTCTGGCATTGTCTTAGGAAACTAATACACACACAGCCAACTGCAAAAAGCAAAACTGTCTCCAGACATCCCCCAAGGTCTTGTTTCATGCTGAGAACCCTAGTATAAGGGAATGTAAGCAAATTTCCCTTATACTTTTAGGAATATAACTGCTAGGACAGGGATGGTTTGATCTCTTTCTCCATCCTATGGGTGTGTGGTGTTATCTCTAAATCTTCATTGCAATGCTTTGGGCTTCCCTATCTCATAATTTTTATCCATTTTTCCATCAGATATGTTGCCTTTCGCCTACTGGTTTTTAAGAATTCCTTAAATATTCTTCACACTCATCTCACATTGCTTTTATACAATCCAAATATCTTCTCCTGGCCCCTTCAACTGCTGATCAGTTTCTCACCTCAAGATTTAGGTTTCAGTCTCATAAGTACTGGCCAACATTATGAGCTTTACACTTTTATTCCAAGTTTAATCATCTATAATTCACTTTTGTGCACAGTAACTGCTCAGAATTTAACTTTATTGTCCTCCCTATAGGAACAGATCTCTTGGCACCTCAGACCCAAGTCCCCTCTCACCCTAAGGCCTTGAGTTGGCGTCTTCCTCCTGGGTCAGGCTGCATCTCCACAACTCCCTTCCCAGTCTCTAACTGTTGACATTGGATCTGCAGCCCATTTACGTGCCATACCACACTGCCACCATTGTTATTGGCTGTGTTTATCCTTCCTTTCTATCTGGTGAGATATGTTCCTCCTCCTTGCACTTAACTTCAAAACCAATTTAGCAATTCCAAACACATTTAGTACTCTGATGTCTAAATTTAGAATAAGCTTTTTGTGTTCTCAAAGTTATGCTAGATTTCAAATTAGAATCGCATTTAACTTGTAGATTAATTTGTGCAAAAGTAGCAAACTTACAACATTAAGACAGTTAACCATGAGTGTAATGTTTTTACAGTTATTTAGATCTTGACGCGTCAAAGTTGGAATAGAATTTAAAAGGTCCCACCTGGGAAAGGGAGGGATAGGGAGAGGGTGGTTATGGGGTTCAGGGGTGCAGCTGGATGAGAAGGGTGATTTCTAATGTTCTGTAGCACACATCAGGAAAGGTGACTGACAACTATTCATTGAACATTTCAAAATATCTGGCACATATCTAGGAAAAAAGATTTGAATGTTTCCAACACAGAAAAATGGTAACTGTCTGAGGTTCAGATATGCCAGTCATTACACTGAAACACCAAAACTATCACACGGATCATCACACTGAAACACCAACACCATCACATGGATCTTCACGCTGAAACACCGAGACCATCACACGGATCATCACGCTGAAACACCGAGACCATCACACGGATCATCACGCTGAAACACCGAGACCATTACACGGATCTGCACGCTGAAACACCGAGACCATCACACGGATCTTCACGCTGAAACACCGAGACCATCACACGGATCATCACGCTGAAACACCGAGACCATCACACGGATCATCACGCTGAAACACCGAGACCATCACACGGATCATCACGCTGAAACACCGAGACCATCACACGGATCATCACGCTGAAACACCGAGACCATCACACGGATCATCACGCTGAAACACCGAGACCATCACACGGATCATCACGCTGAAACACCGAGACCATCACACGGATCATCACGCTGAAACACCGAGACCATCACACGGATCATCACGCTGAAACACCGAGACCATCACACGGATCATCACGCTGAAACACCGAGACCATCACACGGATCATCACGCTGAAACACCGAGACCATCACACGGATCATCACGCTGAAACACCGAGACCATCACACGGATCATCACGCTGAAACACCGAGACCATCACACGGATCTTCACGCTGAAACACCGAGACCATCACACGGATCTTCACGCTGAAACACCGAGACCATCACACGGATCTTCACGCTGAAACACCGAGACCATCACACGGATCATCACGCTGAAACACCGAGACCATCACACGGATCATCACGCTGAAACACCGAGACCATCACACGGATCTTCACGCTGAAACACCGAGACCATCACACGGATCTTCACGCTGAAACACCGAGACCATCACACGGATCATCACGCTGAAACACCGAGACCATCACACGGATCATCACGCTGAAACACCGAGACCATCACATGGATCATGACGCTGAAACACCGAGACCATCACACGGATCTTCACATTGAAACACCGAGACCATCATACGGATCATCACGCTGGAACACCGAGAATGGCAGAGCACACCTGATGTCCCAGCGGAAGGCCTTGCTGTCTGATGTCATGCTTGTGGCTTTTGTCGGTCACAATCACAGGTCCCAGCTAGACATGGCAGCACACATGTAAACCCAGCACGCTGGAAGGTGAGGCAAGAGGATCACAAATTCATGCTCAGCCTCAACTACAGCAAGACCCTGTCTCTAAATTTTAAAAATAAATAAAAAGGGCTGAAGAAGTAGCTCAGAGAAGAGGCCCTGGGTTCAATCCCCAGCACCTCAAACAAATCCTGGGTTCTGTGTATCAGGGTTCTGTGGCCTGATTCAGTCAGACAAGCAGTCAGTGGGTGCTGTCGCCATTGCTAGTGAAGCCACTCAGATTTATGGAGACGCACCCAGGGTATGGTGTACAAGGAACGCATGCGAGATCCCTTCAAACTCAGCTTCAGCAGAAAAGAAATAATTCATTTTCCGTTAGTTTGTTGATAGCGTCTCTGAAATGCCTTTGCTATTGAAATATAATAGTTTGTTAGCTTTATTTCCATCAGAAAAATAGTTGGATATCTGTGACTATTTCATCTCTTCTCTGAATCCATTGTGGTTGAGGAAAGGATAGAGGAAATTAATCACATGCACCACACCAATGCCCACAGAGACTGTTTTTTAATTTGGGAAGAATTAAATTTCCCTTCCCTTACCAGTCATCATTCTGTCCTGAGTTGTCAATATATCATGCTTTCAACTGAGTCCACTTCTGCTGAAATGGGTGCTCTGCCATTCATCGCGGGTCGGTTCTGGGGAACCAGTACTGCAAGTTATCCAGAAGAAACAATACAGTGGACATTTCTCCTGGGTGCCCAGACCACGTAAAGAACAGTGACAAACCTGCGCTGGCCTCCACCCTGAAAGGTGCTCCTTACTCCACAGTGGCACAGGGGACCCACCCTGGCCCTTGTCGGAACACACATCTGCCTGTGCTGGGGTTTCTGTGCAGTGTGCAGGACCCTCCTCAGGTCCCCTCCCCACTGCCCAGGGTCACCCTGTCCACTGAAGTCAGACAGAAGCTGAGCCGCTGGGAACAGGAGTGTCCTCTCCTCTCCCTGAAACTCACTCTGCTCGATCACTACTGCTCCTCTCCCCGGCGTGTGGTGTGCTACACCGCTCTATGCACACACAAAAGTTCAGAACATCCCGGACTACGAGTCTAGTGGAGTGCCATGACACTAGGCGAGTCCCTGAAGCCGACACAGGGGTTTCCATGAGTCTTCGCCAGCCGATGAGCAGAGTAGATGGCTCTGAGATGAGAGCCTGGAAACTCGGAGAGCACATGGGGTGGACCAGCAACCAGGACAGAGCGCTGCTGATTCAGGAGCAGAGGGTCAGCACCCTGGGGCAGACGGGCGCAGTGGCAAAGCTTGCTGCCCAGTGTGGCTCCCAGTCACAGGGGGACTCAGAGGCACCTCTGGGTCACTGCGCCCGAGGGAGCATGAACACAGCTGGGAGCCAGGCGTGCCTGTGGGGACACTGAGGGCTGAGGGGGGTCAGGAAAGGCTTCAAGGTCACTGTGATGCAGGACATGATAAAAATGCAGTTAATCTCAGTCCACTGAATTACAAATCATTTCATGCAATGTACACTGTGCTCAGGCAACGTAAATATAACTATAAGCCCAGCCTGGCCCCCTAGGAGAAGCTGGGGTCACGCCTGTGCTCTGCGTGTCCCCTGGCAGTTTTTCCCACCACGACAACGGAAGGTGTCCTTTCCACATGGGCAGAGGCCACCCCCGATTCCCGTCCCACTCCCAGCCCTCAGCCGTGCTGCAGGGCACTGAAGGCGGACGTCTGCGTCACACCCCTCAACACCAAGGAGACGACACTCGGCTTCACAAGAGGCCTTCCACCTGCTCCTGGCTGTAATTAATCACAGCTGGACTCAAAGAGATGACAGCCATCTGTGCTGGGTCTGGACTGGTGTCCGGGGCGTTCTTTGGCACCAGGAGCAATCTATTCTATCCTCGATCCATCACGCTGAGGGGTAATGTGTCACGGGATTGTCAGCAAAACCTAAATAATTCAAAAGGACAAGTCTCTTGGGGGCTGAGAAAATTGGGTTTAACTGCATTTTAAAGCAAGTCATAAAATCTGCCGTGGATCTGCAGGTGGATGACAAACCCATTTAAAACCCAAGATCAATCCAGCACTTCTCATAGCTAACAAGCTGATGTAACCTCCTCAGCCCCTGGCCCAAAACTCTACTTCCTTCTGGAATGAAAGATGCGTTTGAGTGAGAGGAACTGGAATCGGTGAATCAGGAGCAAAGGCTGCTTTAGCAATCGCATGGGAAAATGAGGCCAACCCAAGTCCAGGAGCCCACCAGCCCACGATACCGGTCATCACGTTCGCCGCCCTGGCCTATGGTTTCGCCCCCTTCCCAGGCCAAGATAAATCTGCCCTAGGTGAGTTCCGAGTACGGAGATTCAAAGAAGGGTGGAGTTGGGTCTCGTGCGGTGGGGGCTGATGGCCCCTT